CCAACACTCACCTTCACCATGTGTTCTGGAATGATTTTGCTAAGTTTGGTGAGATTAGTTGGAACTACCTCAAAAGGACAACCAGGCACATCACCAAATGCCCTTTGTGGAGATCTTCATTTTTCCCCTGCCCTGTAAGTGCCATGCGACAGCCTATCCCCTCAATGAGATAAACTGCTTACAAAATGCAGTTACAGGCCATTCCAGGACTTGAGAAATGCAAGAACGTTTCTTGTCCCTGACTCCTAACCAGCTCTTCAGCCAGAGCTAATCAGTTTTCACCTGTGAATGTCTCAGCCTTTGAAATTACTTTAGGCTCTTCCCCAAAATGCAGTGTCCCGTTTGTTCATGTTGGAGCAGACATGGCAATGACTAGCATCCCTTTTCTCCCCTTCTGATTGTGGAAGAAGGCTCAGAAATCTGTCATGGAAATTGAAGAAAGAAGTAAGCAATATTCCAGAAAAAGCAAAACTGGCGGTTGCGGCTTGCATGGGTGGCTGCAGAGGCTGGCCTGACACTGCTTCTTGTGTAGCAGGCTGAGCAGACATGTGCACACTTCCTCGGTGGCCTTGCCCTATGGGTCAGGAACCTGTGCGTCCTGAGAACAATCTGCCCAATAACAGAAAAGCAGAGACCTGGCCCCAGGGAAGCAGGGTCAGCTCTTCTCCCAGTTAAACAGGGTCTGCTCCTCTCCTGGGGAGGAGAGTGAGAGATGGGCAGATTAGCAGAGATGTTACTTTCAGAGAAGCACTCCACTGGGACACATGAGGTTGGGAGCAAGGGACTCCCCTAACAAGTTTTCGCTTAAGACTCAGTCAATAAACATTGATTGAGCATCTGCTTTGTAATGGAGACTATAGCAGTTCATATAAATACAGTGGTGAGGGGGAGGATGTGGTCAGCATGGGCTGGATGCCCTAACTGGAAAGACAGGAGTTGCCCAAGTCCCCATGAAGGTGTCTGGGTGTGGCAGCCGAGTCTGGAGAAGGTGAATGTAGTTAGGGAGGGCTTCTCTGAAGGCATCTCTGAAAAGACATTTCCTGTCTAGGTAAAGACAGTAAAAGTGCAAAGGGACAAGGAACGAGGATTCCTTGGAACCAGAGTGTGGAGCGGTACAGAAACTGCGGGAGGGCTAGTTGACTTGAGTGTAGCAAATGGGAGGAAATCTGGACACGGCACAGGTCTTTGCACCATGGTAAAACTTCTAGACCATTACAGAACCTTAAATCAAGAGTTACAAGGTCGCTAGGGATGAAAAGATTAGGGAATAGGATGTTGGTGCTGGGAACTCATGAGAGATGGTGCTGACATAGCAAAGACCAAGACTAAAGTAAAGAGAAAAGTGAGTGGGTCTTAAAGAGTTTCCTAAGAGATCAAATGTGAGTGAGGAAAAAAATAAAAAGAGCCCAAGCGGGGCATTCCAACTTTGGCATCACCCTCTCTCCACCTCAGGAAGATAGGAGCAGTCCTTCCCACATGGCCCCAAAGTAGACACTCCCCCTTTCTTTCCTCAGTCCTAGAGAATTTCTGGTTGAAAACTTTTAAAAACTCAACTTCTTTTACTTTCTTTCCTGGCCCTTACTTTGACCTATTGTGCTCCAGTAGATCTAGCAATGGTGAGGAGCTTATAGGGTCACACCCCTTCTTCTCACCTCTTACCATTAGAAAACAGTATCATTGCACTCTATGAAAGTAAAAGGGATCCCTAATCATTAAGATTCGCAAATCCGGCTGGTGAAACACCCTAGAAAAGCCGTGCAAATCTGTGTAGCTCCGTTAAACATTAACCTGTTCGTTATACATTTACAACACCTAGGAACAATAATTATGTGTTTCTTTCCTTTGGTCACTAAATCAAGCTGAATCATTTATACTTTTAGCATTAGAGAGGTTAGAAGGCATTTTTCGTTTTTGTAAGATTTCATTCTTTATGTGAAACCTTATGTCCTATTTGAAGATTCTCATTTTTCTTTAAATACATCTAACTTCATTGAGCATCTAGCACGTCAGGCATCAAACTGACAAAACACCACATTTATAACATATTAAAAAGAGAGTATATAAATAAGGGTATTATGTCGAAAGGCTTTTATTTATTTAAAAACATATGGTGGGAATGTAAAATGGTGCAGCCACTGTGGAAACACAGTATGGTGGTTACCCAAAAAATTAAACAGAATTATCATATGAGCCAGCAATTCCATATCTAGTCATATACTCACGAGAATTGAAAGCAGGGACTCAAACAGATATCTGTACCCCAATGTCTATAGCAGCATTATTCACAGTAGGCAACAAATGGAAACAACCCAAATATCCATCAATGGATATATGGCTAAACAAACTGTGGAATATCTATACATTGGAATATTTTTCAGTCTTAAAAAGGAATGACACCCTGATAAATTCTACAATACGGATAAACTTGGAAGACATTATGCTAAGTGAAATAAGACAGAAAAGGACAAATACTGTACGATTTCATTTATTTGAGTTACTTAGAGTAGTCAAATTCATAGAGACAGAAAGCAGAATGGTGGTTCACTGGGGCGGGGGAGCGGAGGTAGGAATGAGGCGTTACTGTTCAGTGAGTACAGTTCCATTCAGTTTGGGGCGATCAAAAAGTTCTAGCGATGAATAGTGGTGATGATCACACAATGTGAATATACTTAATACCACTGAACTGCATGCTTAAAATATGGTTAAAATAATAAATTGTTTGTTACATATATTTTACCAAAAGGAAAATAATGAAAATAGGGAGAGAAAAGTGAATGGTAGGAAGACTCAAATTTTTTGTGGAAGATGGAGATTTCTACATTGAATGTGAAAAAGAACATAGTATTTTCAGTCAGGGATGAACTGTAGAGACGCCAACTAAGCCATTTGGAGGTCAAGCAGACAGCTCAGAGGGGATATTTGAATTCTTATCTTTCCCATGACCCTATTTCTGTTGAGTTGCTACTTTGGTGAGGCATAATGACACTTCAAAAATATAAATTCAGGGCCAGGCAAGTGGCTCAGTTGGGTAAGAGTGTAAGCTCTGAGCAACAGGGTTGCTGGTTCGATTCCCACATGAGCCAGTGAGCTGTGCTCAAGCTGAGCTGCCACTGAGATGGTGAGAGCGCGTGTTCTTAGCAGCAAGGTTGTCAG